TTCTTCAGGTCAGACACCCTCCCCACTCTCCACCCCATGGTTATCTCTCTGGGGTCCCCAATTGGTCTGAGGGGAGGGGTCCAGAGGTGGACCTTGGACTTCAAGGGTCAGCTAACAGATCATCCGAGTTGGAAGGGACTTTATAGGTCATCTAGTCCAACCCCCCGCACAAGCGGGAGACCCTACACCATTTCTGACCAATGGCAGTTCAATCTCTTCTTGAAAGTCTCCAGTGATGGCACTCCCATAACTTCCAAGGGCAACTTCTGTTCCACAGGTTGATGGTTCTCACTGCCAGAAAGTTTCTCCTTATTTCCAGGTTAAATCTCTCCTTGTTCAGTTTCCATCCCTTATTCCTTGTCTGGCCTACAGGTGCTTTAGAAAATAGCTTGACCCCCTTCCTCTCTGTGGCAACCCCTCAAATATTAGAAGACTGCTATCCTGTCTCCCCTGGTCCTTCTCTTCCCTAAACTAGCCAGGCCCAGTTCCTGTGATCGTTCTTCGTCTTTTATCCTCCAGTCCCCGAATCATCCTGGTTGCTCTTCTCTGCACTTTTACTAGAGCCTTAACATCTTTTTTATAATGTGGTGACCAGAACTGGATGCAGTACTCTAGGTGTGGCCTTACTAGGGTTTTATAGAGTGGTATTAGCACCTCACTTGATCTCGATTGTATCTCTCTGTTATTGCAACATAGGATTACACTGGCTATTTTTGGCTGCTGTTGTACACTGTGGCTCCTATTTAACTGGTTGTCCACTAAGACTCCAAGTTCTCTCACCGTTCCTACTATTGAGAAATCTGGTTTCATCCAGTCGATATGTGTCCTTTTGATTTTTCTTGCCTACATGTCAGACTTTACTTTTCTCTACGTTGAATTTCATCTCTCCGAGACAACTGAAATTTGCAGGTTCCAATAATGCTCTCAAAAATAGCACTGATTTCCAGGAGTGTCGGCGGGACGAAGTTGACCGCAAAGGGGAAGGTTGAGAAGAAGCGTGTGGTATGGAGCTGAAGGACACTAAGGAGATGGGAAGGACTCAGCATGTCAGATCCGTGTATCTGCCATTCTTCAATGGAAGAAGAAGGGGGGGGGATTTGGTTACAAGTAATCCTTTTTGATGTAACCTGAAGATCTTAAACCTTGTATTGAATCTGTATAAGCCAGATGCCTGGAACCTTGTCACCTCTTGGAGAGATAGCAAGAGGAGAAGAGACCATCAAAATTCCAGCTCTGAAAGAAACTTCCTGGGAAACTTTTCTAAGATACGTTGCCAGAAAATGGGGGGATTAACATGTTGTCTCTTTGTTTGACTAAATCCACATCGGAATAAGGGGAGGGGTTCTAACTCCCTTTATCTGTCCCTGTATGCTTGGGGGTATCTTAGACTCTGCTTTGACTAGTATCTGGATCACTTCCTTTCAATAAAGAATTCCTTTTGAAGTACCTAGCTTTCAGAAGTTCATTCTTATTGGTTGAAGGGGAAAAGTCGGAGGGGACCCTGCAAAAAATGTCTGAATATAGCAAGGAGCAAGGGGAAGCTGGGGAGAAACTTTGACAACTACCCAGCCAGACACTGACTTCGTGTACCCCATCAAAGACATTGAAGCTGGCTGCGAAAATTCCACGAAGCCCCGGTGGTCTATAGGCGTAGGAAAGAGAGACAGCTGGGATGGAAGAACCAACGGAGTAACCCTCACCTGGGGTAACCGTAAACCCAGGTGGAAAATGGAGCCGGAAGCCCTTTCTGATCAGGAAGAATGGGTCGAGGAACCACTGGCAGATGACCGACTGAAACGGTCCATAAATCGCCTCGTGAGGCAAGCCCTGGAGGGCCTCAATGTGTGGGATGAACCAGGTCACCAACGAAGGAGAGCGAGTGAACCAGAATTTGAGACAACCCAAGCCATCACCTTTTGATCCAGTTGAGAATGATCGAGCAATGGAACAAGCCGGAGGATCAGCAGCCATACCAGGTACCTGGCCCCTTGCTGCTCCAGAGCAGGGGATTAACTTGGGCCAACCCAGAGACATACAACCGCAGAGAAAGGTCCCACCCTTGGGGGTAAAATTTGATGGGGACCCCCAGAAACTGGGATTCTTCCTGGTGCAAGTCCTCACCTACATACAAGAATACGGGCAGAATTTCCTGACCCAGGGGGCCCGAGTGTGAGTCGTCACCCTCGCCCTAGAAGGGGCGGCAGCCAGATAGATGGTGATCCTCCACGTTTACACCCAAGAACTGAGGAACCATGATCGATTCATGACAGCCCTACATGCTTCAAAGACCCCCTCGCTGATAGAAAAGCCCACAACCGACCGCATTAAGAGTTGTAAAGGTATTTGTGACCTGGCTAGCTGAGTCGACTGGCCAGAAGATATCCTAGTCTGTTGGTTCAAAGATGGACTCAAGGACGACCTGTACACTGTCTGCCTGGCCCGTGGGGCCCCAAACCTCCTGCATGAATGGTACCTGATGGCAGAGGAGGCAAAGATAGACATGGCCTGTAACCAGTACCGCAGTGCAGCGGCAGAGTTTGGAGAATATCCCCACCCCAGGGAAAGCAGGAGTTTTTCAAACCCTGAACCACCATGACTCCAAGACCACCTGGCTGTTTTTAAGTGTGGAAAAGAGGGGCACCGCACAGCAGAATGCCGTTCAAAAACCCCTGCCAGAAAGCCAGAATAGTGGGAACCCTCCTCCCTTCAGAAGTTCCACCCTGGACCTCCATCCGATTGCCGGGAGGATGAGGGTCCCCGAGGACTTTGCAGCCGACTCCATGACTTGTGCAGGCGATGGCTGAGCCCAGGAAAGCACAGCAAAGCCCAGATGCTGGACCTTCTGGTTCTGGAGCAGCTCCTGGCTCTCCTGCCCCCAGAGATGGAGGGTAAAGGAGCGTGGAGTAGAGAGCAACTCCTAGGCGGTGGCCCTGGCGGAAGGCTTCCTCCTGAGCCAGGCAGAGGAGCAGAAGGAGCAGCTCCGGTGGCAGGTGGGAAACTTTAGGGAGCTCAGAAGGGAATAAATAGAGTGCTTGAATGCTTCACCCCTCCTTTCCCAAACTTCTCCCTTGTTCACAATAGGAGGCAACTCTCCAGTTCAGGAAGGATATTGTTCCATTGTTTTCTCACTCAGCCACACAGATGGATATTGGGGGCTTTGAGGGTGTGTTCCGAATATAAGAATCCACTTTCTGTTGTGTGACGTACATTAATTCTGCTTCTTCCTTCCTTCCTTCCTCCTATTGGCAGCGCTGCACTGTGGAGATCAGAGATCCTGAAGGAAAGAAGAACCCATCAAATCCCCCTCAGGAACTATTTTTCAGGAGGATCCCTTGGGAAGACCAAAGTCAGGACACCTCAGGAGGGAATGGAAGATCCTCCGATTCCCCATCTGTCTTCCCTTCGCTTTCTCTTCTCTTCTATGGAATACCTCCTCCTATTTTGTTAATTATGCATTTGGAAATTATTTATTCCTTACAGAGAAGCAAGGAACGAATCTTTTTGGTTTTTATGATGGCAATCAAACAGCAGCTGAACCTCCAAATCAAGTAAGAAAAGGAAAAGTTTATTAGATTTGTATTCTCCCTTCAGGAAGTGAAGCAGGTGTGCAGAGTGCTCTCTCCTTCTATTTCCCCCTTGTTTGGCCTGGATTATTTTTGTGTTCTTCCACAACATGGAGAGCAGAATAGGAGGTTCAAGTTGCTGTCAGCCAGCATCGCTTCCTCTGGTTATTTCGTTCTGCTAGGTTCTCTGTGGTGGTCTGGCACTTGAAATGAGACGCAGGGAACTGTCTGAGCAAATGCCAGCCCCGAGAGCACTCGGGTAGCAGTATTTATTTAAGAAAATGCAAGTACAAAATCAAAACAATGACCTCAACCTCAGCAGCATTACCTCAGCAGGGTGATAAAGTCCCGTGAGAATATCCAGGCACGAAAGGTCTCATGGGAATGGCTCGGCTGGGTACTGTGAACTTTCACCGACATTCCTGGTCCATCTAAGCTTTGCAGGTCAAAACAGGACCAAACGTCCATCATAAAGGAACTACTGCCCCCATGAGGAGCGTTTGTAAAATCCCCAGATCTTATACAAAACTGTACGAAGGACTTTACAGAATATGATGAATATGATATATTACCACAGTTCTCCTCCTACTTTGAGTTTACAAGAAACAATTTTTTAAACGTCCTTCAAGAAAGAGGAATAAAGGTATCACAGTGGCAGGAACTGCTAGAGACCCCCCCTTTTTTTTTTGGTAATTCTTTGACTCGGAGTTATGGAAGGATAATAATACATTGCCACATTACCAGTTTTAAAAACCTTCATTTATAACCTGTAGTTGAAAAATAAGCAAATTGTATTAAAAAATAAATCAGATTATTAAAATCCAAAGGGAGTGGCCGTGTTGAGTATGGAATCACTGTACTCTGGTCTACAAAATAATTTCCAATCCTCTGATTTAGGCATCAATTAGGAGATCAAACATTCCCGCTTTCCAACGGCTGAGAAATGACTTTCCCAGGGAATCAATGATAGACAGAGCGATAGATAGGTTGATCCAGAAGTGGGATTACTTTAGTCCAGCCCCCTGCTCATACAGGAAGCCCTATAACATTTCAGATAAATGGCTGTCCAATTTCTTCATAAACACCTCCAGTGTTGGA